TGTAAAACAAACAAATTATCAACAGTAGAGTAGTTTGGTCGGATCCCTGCTTGAGACTCGGACAGTAAATCATTTACTTCCATCCATATTCTCAAACGTTTTTCTATGATTGACGTGAAGATTTTTCCAAAACATTTAGAAGTGAAATGCCTCTATGTTTACTTGGTTCACAAACTGACCCAGATTTATATAATGAAATAATCATACTTAAATTCCAACATTCTGGAAACACTCCCATGTCTAAAATCTTATTGAACAATAACTTCAAGTATAGTGCAAAGAGATCTGATGGTAGTTCAAAGAATTCAGGGGGTATCCCATCTTCACCTGCGGACTTGCCCATACTCAGATTATTGATAGCGTCCGTGACCTCTCTTTCAGTGATGTGAATGGGTGTAATCCATTGTGAGAATGAACCACATTAACTCTTATGCTGCCGACCCAATTATTCTTACTGCCGGCGTGAGGATCTGCCCAGGATCGCAAATAATTTGGAGCTGCCGATAAGTTACCATCTTCCCGAGGTAAGAGAGTTAACTGACTTTAAAAGTCTAGTTTCCACCCTTGCCGAACTAGGCTGGAATTTCTGGGCTCGATCGTAGCGCCACCAGTGGCTGTTACGAGTTATGTCACTGCTATGCCTCTCCTATTGACCAATCAGATTCCACCTATCGTATCACTTGCATTTGCTTCAAACAATATGGCGGCGCCCAGTCAAGACGATCTGATCGACAATCAAGATCTATGTTGTGATAAAACGGCTCTTACATCGCTAAGTGCGTCAAATGACGTGAGCACCTTGATTAAAAACTTGAAAAGATTTGGAAAATATCTGTTGACAGCGAGTTGGCGGTACACATGCTGTGCAAATCTTGCAATCGACTCGAACTCTGCATAACAGTTTACGAACCGGATTTTGATTTTGGTGCGCGATTGTAAGAGGACTATGCATAGACTCGTTAGTCCAGCCCAAATCTAACTACATAATACCAGTCTAGTTCGGCAAGGGTGGAAACTGGACTTTCATAGTCAGTCAACTCTCTTGCCTCGGGAAGATGATAAGTTACAAAAACCAGATACTAATATCGCTTACGAAAGCGAGAGGCACAAACGATACGACCATGAAATGAGTTTAATAATCATTATATGATAAATAAACTACGGTTTAATAGTTAATCTCGGACAGTTCATAGGTGTATTGCACCATATTTCATTCTTGTTACGAACCTCATTCTTCTATAAAAGTATCTTCCTCATTTTAAAAATACACCAAAAGCACATTTTGTTACCGGCTCTGTACATGTGTTGGTAGGACGCGGTCGGGGGATGGAAACACCCACCCTCCGTTCTTTGGTGGTTGTTTGGTTGACGATGTGTTAAGGGGGCAATTGACACACAAACATATGTCCATGTGACAGATGTGATAGGATGTACCTGACACATACAGACAGATACACAGACAGACAGATAGACACTCACGTGTTTGACACCACTGCCTCTGTTTATAATTGATATATGTACCACGAACACACAAACATGTAGGTGTTCGCTAGCACTGACTCTATTTATGATGTAAGTACCTGGTGCATACATACGCACATACACATACATCTGAAAATCTATACATGTGGTGATACACGTGGAGTACCTGACACGCACACATGTAAATGTTTATGATCCAGGCATCTCTCGATAGACTAAGACTATGTCACCTTTCCCTCCCTCCACACACACACACACACACACACACACACACACACACACACACACACACACACACACACACACACACACACACACACACACACACACACACACACACACACACACACACACACAGATACACAGATACAAATCATGTACCTCTGTTGAAACACTTGAAGTATGTACCTTTCTCTCTCAGACACACACACACACACTCTCTCTCTCTCCCTCTTTCTCTCTCTGCATCTTGAAGTGACACACGCACACCGACTGATACAATAGTCTCACCTTGACGTGAAACTGAGCATGGAGAATGCTGCAATAGTCTTACCTTGAAGTGACACATGTACGGAGACTGTTGCGATAGTCTCACCTTGAAGTGACACATGTATGGAGACTGTTGCGATAGTCTCACCTTGAAGTGACACATGTATGGAGACTGTTGCGATAGTCTCACCTTGAAGTGACACATGTATGGAGACTGCTGCAGTAGTCTCACCTTGAAGTGACACATGTATGGGGACTGTTGCGATAGTCTCACCTTGAAGTGACATATGCATGGAGACTGCTGCAGTAGTCTCACCTTGAAGTGACACATGTATCGGGACTGCTGCAGTAGTCTCACCTTGAAGTGACACATGCACACAGACTGATACAATAGTCACACCTTGAAGTGACACATGTATGGAGACTGCTGCAGTAGTCTCACCTTGAAGTGACACATGTATGGGGACTGTTGCGATAGTCTCACCTTGAAGTGACACATGCACACAGACTGATACAATAGTCACACCTTGAAGTGACATATGCATGGAGACTGCTGCAGTAGTCTCACCTTGAAGTGACACATGTATGGGGACTGCTGCAGTAGTCTCACCTTGAAGTGACACATGTATGGGGACTGTTGCGATAGTCTCACCTTGAAGTGACACATGCACACAGACTGATACAATAGTCACACCTTGAAGTGACACATGTATGGAGACTGCTGCAGTAGTCTCACCTTGAAGTGACACATGTATGGGGACTGTTGCGATAGTCTCACCTTGAAGTGACACATGCACACAAACTGATACAATAGTCACACCTTGAAGTGACATATGCATGGAGACTGCTGCAGTAGTCTCACCTTGAAGTGACACATGTATGGGGACTGCTGCAGTAGTCTCACCTTGAAGTGACACATGCACACAGACTGATACAATAGTCACACCTTGAAGTGACATATGCATGGAGACTGCTGCAGTAGTCTCACCTTGAAGTGACACATGTATTGGGACTGCTGCAGTAGTCTCACCTTGAAGTGACACATGCACACAGACTGATACAATAGTCACACCTTGAAGTGACACATGTATGGAGACTGCTGCAGTAGTCTCACCTTGAGGTGACACATGCATGGGCGAAGCTGTTTGATAGAGTATTTGTTTAGATATTTACGGATTCATCTCATATTCCTCATATTATGGTCAGCACTTTTGCAGATGCTTTTCACATGTCTTTTCAAACTGAATATTGAATCAATGATCACGCCAAGATTGCTTGCCTGATTGCTTGGTTAAACAATAAAGTTACCAACACCTCTGTTGATATGTATTAAAACTAAAACTACATCAAAGATGAATCATTTAATGACAAAGCTTCAGTTTATGCTCTGTCGTAGTTTACTGAACAATATTTATGGAATTTTTGTTAGACCACATTTTGAACAATTTCTTTTTATGCATATGAAGTTTGGGACGGTTATACCAAAGAGCAGAGTGATACATTAGAAAAACTCCAACTAGAAGCAGCAAGAATCGTAACTGATTTAACAAGCTATACTTCTATCAACAAATTGGATTTCGAAACTTCCTGGGAACCCTTATCAGAGCGTAGGAGAAAACGTAAATTGTGTTTAATTTATAAAATATATAACAATTTGACACCTTCATATCTCAAAGAGCTAGTACCACAGTCATTTAATGTGATTTTTTTATATCGGATGAAAATGAATTGATGCAATCACTATTGTTAATTGTGAAAGATACCTGTGATGTAAATATTGACCTGATGCTAGTTGGCAACGCCATTTTACCTAATCATGTGAACGAAAACATTTCTAGGAATGTACATACCTACATAAAGAAAACAAAAAGGTTTGAGTGAGCAATGTGAATGTACATACGTTTCTCTATTTCTTTTCTTTCCTTTCTGTCATTTAATGTATCAATTGTAAATAAGCACACATGTAAATCTGTGGGGGAGGGCGTTCCTAGTTGTGATAACGTGTGCCCAATCCTTTTCATGAGAATAAAATATGTTTTAGCCTGAACACACTCGCACACAAGTATGTACCTCTTCCACAAACACACATACCTTACCTCTGTTGATACACTTGAAAAATGTCCCTCACACATGAACGTCTGTTGATGCACAAGGTATCTCTCTCGCTCTCTCACTCACTCTTTCTCTCGCTTTCTCTCTCTCTCTCATACACACACACGGACACACATGTGCATGTTTGCCATCGTTGCCTGGGTATACACTTGAAGTATACATCTTTCACTCACATACACATGTTCCTCCGTTGAGACACAAGGAATCTGATAAACTTACACGCATTTAAGTGTTTGCCAACAACGTCTCTGTTGAACACTTGAAGAATGTACGTCTCACACACACACATACAAACACGTCCTCCACAACTGCCTCTGTTGATACACTTACAGCATCACCTCTCAAAGACACACATACACGCACTTGTACCTCTGTTGATACACTTACAGTATCACCTCTCACAGACACACATACACGCACTTGTACCTCTGTTGATACACTTACAGCATCACCTCTCACAGACACACATACACGCACTTGTACCTCTGTTGATACACTTACAGCATCACCTCTCGCAGACACACACACAAACACGTCCTTTGTTGATACACGATCTGTAGATGCACTTGACGTGTGTACACAAACGCGCACTTGTTTGTCAGAGCAACCTTCATTCGTCGTGTTGACACCTTTGACCAGGGACCATATACGGAAATGGTCTCTGCCTTGACGTAGTTCACTGACACACATACATAAATACTCGAGTTTTGAACAGACAAGTCATTCATAATTTGAGCAACACATATATCAAATGCATTGTCCGGGGACCTAACCAGACCATTCCAATACCAGACCTACGCTGACATATGTTACACACGTGATGGCGACCATAAAGTACCTTCTGTCCAATGACGCAATGTGATGTCGGTTTGACTCGTCCGGAGAATATATAAGTGACCAGTGGTCAAATGAACGTCACTTGTGCTCTCAAGGTACAGTCAACAACACAGCCTCAGGTAAGCTTGTATTTGTCCTAACACAGTGCATCAGGTTTGCATGGTTACATTATTGGTCAAATTCCCAGCTTGAATATTGTCAATGCACTTTTGTTTTCAATTCAACGTGAATACTGAACACTTGCTGTTCGTGAGAGGCGACTAACAGGATCGGGCACGCTGAGTTTGTTGATGCATGTCATCGTATTCCATTTGCCTAGATCGATGCTTCACAGCACTGATATTTAAATACAATTGGGTTTTATAAGCTGGAGACTTATAGTTGTAAAATAATGTATTGTATACTAGTTTTGGTTTCTTTGCTTTCAAACAGTATCACAGATTTTGATAATGTCATTACAGACCAGTCATAATACAATTTGTTCTTGAGACCAACTAAAATACTCAGCATGGACATATTGAGACGGTCGTGTTGTTTCAGGATGTTTCCACGACCTTCAGCCGTTTAAATTCATTTTCAGATAGAAACTCTTTGAAGAGATGTCTAAACTAACTATTGTGGCCTTCTTTGTGATCGTTGGGGTCCTAGCAATCAACGGTGCACGTGAGTATATCACCCATCAATACTTTCTGTCACCCCGAAAGAACCCGTGAAGATCCGGGGTAGAATAGGTCTTCAGCAACCCATGCTTGCTTTAAAAGGCGACTATGCTTGTAGTAAAAGGCGACTAACGGGATCGGTTAGTCAGGCTCGCTGACTTGGTTGATGCATGCCATTGTATCCCAATCGCGTAGATCGATGCTCATGATGTTATTCACGAGACTGTCTGCTACACACTCGATGTTTTACAGACCGCTGTCACATAGCTGGAATTTTGCCGTGTGCGGCGTTAAACAACAAACAATTTGAAACAAAACCGTGGCAGGATACCCTTGAAATTCATATTCAAGTTTCTTGATCGGGTTCTTTTTCCTAGAAGTAGAACTTGTCCTGTGTCAACTATGTGTCCTGTGATCTCACTCACGATGTGAAGGGGCTCGGGGGTCCCAGTGGTCTGAGGCGCCGCACTTTCTCAGAGCAGTCCTTTATGGTGCCAGACATGTATCATGTGTACGAATTCCAGATTCGACCTGATTATGTCTCCTGGTCTGTCAGCACCATACCATGCTCGGGGGCTTCTCCAACGTGGAAACCGTCTAAAGCCTGCATCATTTCGTGCGTTTATCCCACATCTGATCGAAACTGATATAGCTGAAATACTGTTAAACACCACTCACTCACTCTCACACACCCATGCAGATAAGATGTGCTCACCCATTTAGCGGCCACCCGGTGTCACGAATTGCATCTTGGCACTGATTAGTAAATGTAGGTGTGTGAACGTGAACTTCCAAAATGTTTACAGAAAGAAATACTTATGACGCCAAAGTCCGTATTTGTTCTGTTTAACGTATAGATTCTGCATTAATGTTTTGTATTACAACCATATTGGACTGGTGTCGCTCCATATATAGACTTCAGTCCTGCTCAACTGAATTCTGTCTTCGTTTTCAGGTTTGCGTATCCGACCGATTTACGACTATGGCTCACCAGGTAAATATTGTATTCATATGTTTTTAATGTAATGTTTTAAACACATTTAAACTGTTAAATCTACTAAATCAGTCTTTTCGTGTCAGTCATATTTATAAAATAGAAGATTTTGATCTTGTTTTAATGTATTGACATGTCACATGTTAGCATCAACCAAACAAATGTTTCAGATTATCGTCTTATTCCTGGGAGGGACGGACGTCATAGACTTGTTCGTGTATACGAAAGACCAGACAAACCAGATCACTGTGAGTCATCCTCATCTTCAACCTTTTCCTCAATAGGCTGATCGAATAGATGTTGAAGGATGGGGCGGCAGGTGGTCAAGTGAATAAAGCGTTGTGTCGTCTCACACATGCGGAAAACACATAAATACGGTGTCCTCTGTCGTGATATTGCTGGAATAAATCTAAAAGCGGCGTAAAACAACATTCTATGAAAAGATACCAACATAAATATATATCATCAATGCATAAAACAATAGCATTAGCTTAATAAACAGTACTTGTTGTGCATTGGTCAAGCTATGCATGATACCAGTTATATGGTAAATCATTGAAGTGTGTTATCCGATTTACATTATGGTGTAAAATATCCCAAATATACATTACTCTTTATTTAATGTCCAATGATCTCCTTTCCAGTGGTAATCACTCAAGGACGTGGCGCAAACAGGCGGACATATGTCACTGACAATGTTGACCATCGTAAGATTATCTATTCTTACTTTTAGCAATTTGTTCATTTTCAGAAACAATAATTATGGCATTATGATTGCCAGGTATCACTTGATATTTAACGAACATCAAATTTGAACTGCCTTCTGTATAAGAACCTAGCGCCTTCTCAAGACGTCCCTTTTCCTGAACACTTTGTATCACAACTATACGTATGAAAAAGATTCACAAACACATGCTGGTGTTATAGTCGGAAAATGTACAACTTTTATAAGAGATATCTTAGAATAATGGAAATGATTCTTTTTGTCGATTTTATTTATAGTTTATATTTTCCTTATTTCAGTATATGATCACCCTAGAATGGGTGCACGTGCACTGTCATCTCATCACGGCTACAGCACCTTAGGAAGTAAGTTCAATACGACTCTACAGTTTGTTTGTTTGTTGTTTAACGCCACACTCACCAATATCCCAACGATATGGCCGTCTCTAAAGAGTCGAGTTTGGGCCAGATAATCAAGTGATCAGCATTACGAACAGCGATTCACGTCGTCAGGGTGCGATGAAACACAATGAACCAAGTTGCCAAGTCTGACTACCTCATCACTTTTGTCTCCTCTGATGAACAGCATAGATTGCCTGGTATTTTTTCTTGTCTGGATTCACCACGGCATTCGTGTACAAGCATTACCTTTCTCAAGGCTTCGTGATTCTGATAATGAGCGAGTGAGTATGGTTTCACGCCGCTTTCAGCAATATTCCAGCAATATCACGGCGGGGGACACCAGAAATGGGCTTCACACATTGTACCCATGTCGGGAATCGAACACGGGTTTTCGGCGGGACGAGCGAACGCTTTACCCACTAGGCTACCCGACCAACCCGATTCTGATAAAATGAATGAACATATATATTAGTCTTCATCGGGAAGCAAGACTTAGTATTTATTTCCCGCTACTGCAATATCAAAGCAACACCAAAACGGAGCGTAACTCATTCTACCCATAGGCGTCATTATCTAGTCCTTAAACTGTAGGTTCCACAAAGCGCAAGAACTGTAGTTTCTACCACATTCTGTGAAAGGGGAGGGGCATTATTGGGTTGAGTGAATTGCTATATGTACTTCAATGTGAATGTTTTGCTCTGTTTTCAGGAAGGAAGCGCAGATCCATCCTGCATCCATTCCACTCAGGTAAGACAATACATCTTGTTCTGATTTTTAACCCTGATACACCTAAATCACGATGTGACTGATAATATATTAATATTAATCTTAAGCATATGTAATCTGCTCCCGCGTAAAACGAAACGATTTTAGCTCTACGACTGTCTTATATGATAAGTATGGGAGTTACGACAGTCGTAACTCTACGATTGTTTTGTGGAAACGGGCCCAGGCCATACTAAAGATCTTTGAAACGACGTCACAGTATCTCTTTTCTGAAGACCCGTGAAGTTTCCGGGGTAGAATAGGTCTTCAGCAACCCATGCTTGCCGTAAAAGGTGACTATGCTTGTCGTACAATGCGACTAACGGGATCAGGTGGTCAGGCTCGCTGACTTGGTTGATGCATGTCATTGATCCCAATTGCGTGGATCGATGCTCATGATATTAATCACTGGATTGTCTTGTCCAGACTCGATTATTTACAGACCGCCGTCATATAGCTGGAATATTGCTGAGTGCGGCGTTAGACAACAAACCAACGAACCAACCAACCAATCTTTTCTGAATGTTGAAGTAAAGATTTGGTCTGTCTTCTTACAGCGGCACTGTTCCACCCACTGCTGGCTCGCAACTACGGTCTCAATCTCGCTCTCAGAGCCCGAACCCTTGGTGCCCTGTCGTACAGAAATCGTCTTCTCGGAGCACGTGGTCTTATGGGGCAACGCCTGGTGAGACCCCAAAATGTTGCACAGATCGCTACACAGGTGGGACATCACAAAACACCAGCGGCTGTGACCAAGGTCGCAACGAAACATGCGCCACAGATTATTCCCTCTGCCCCAGCTGTTGTCCTGACAAAAGGTGTAGACTCCTACCCAGCTCCCGCCGACGTATACCAGCCAGGTCCCGGTGTCAACACAGGAATCCCTAACCACATGGATCAAGTCGGCCTTCCCTATCAAGAAATCTTCGATCAACCCTCCGGAGGTCAGCCCCTGTACCAACCTGGCGCTCCATACAACGGCCCTGCTGGTCAGCCCGCGGATCTGTACAACGGCCCTGCTGGTCAGCCCGCGGATCTGTACAACGGCCCTGGCGCTCCATACAACGGCCCTGCTGGTCAGCCCGCGGATGTGTACAACGGCCCTGGCGCTCCATACAACGATCCTGCTGGCGCCCAAACCTACCTAGATCCTCTCGGCTCCGGCCCCATCTATCAAGGTACCAACGGCGCTTCAGAGATACTCAGTAATGGAATCGATGTCTACTCTACCAACCTCGGTGGTGGCTTCGGGCCTTCTTACTCCAATCTTGGCCTTGGCGATTACCTCCTCGACAGCAATGGTCAGAATTCTGTGATCTTTGACAGCAACAATCCTTCCAATATGGCCGCGTCTGGAGCCCCGACTGGGACAGCCGGCCCTGCCTCCGCTCCTAGTTTCATGTAGATGTTGAGTCGTGTTAGGACAAGTAACTATTGTTACTGATAACGTTGTAGCTTGTGTATTTGCTTTGAACGATACTGCTGTGTTTCCCATAAGCAATTGCACTATTGAAATAAATATTTATATGCAAAGGTTGATTATTGTTGTGTTTCACATGAGATGCTGAAAAGAAAATTATTACATTGAAGCATGTGACAAATTTAACTGCCAAGATTGTTTTTTTGATGTTTAACGCGGCACTCAGCAATATTCCAGCTATGTGACGGTGGTGCATAAATAATCGAGTCTTGACCAGACTGTCCAGTGATTGACATCATGAGGATTGATCTACGCAATTGGGATACAATGACATGCATCAGCCAAGTCAGTGAGCCTGACCACCCGATCCCGTTACGGCAAGCATGGTCGCCTTTTACGGCAAGGATGGTTTACTGGAGACCTATTCAAATCCGGGTCCTTTTGGTATAACGTGCCAAGAAAAGCTTATGTTCATAAAATGTACGTTTGTGGAGTTACAAAACGAGAAATAAAGGCGACAAAACCCTTTCCATATTTATAAGAAATCTCTGCTAAAAGCAGAGTCGATTGTACGTTTTCGACAAAATCATGAGCATGTGTTTATGAGTCACCATCAAATAGTGATGATATCAGGTGTTTTCGCGGAAATATGAGCGTACCCGCGTAAAGATGGTACCCGTCACAAACACTTGCAAAGGCAAGTCAAATGTTCACCGGAAAAACAAGGGAATATGTGGTACAAGACGAGGAGAAGCTTCATCGATTTCCGCGAGGAAGCCTGCATCTTGCCTACATGTATTATCAATGAGACAACATTCCTGTAACGTGATAAGAAGTAAATATAAAATTACAAGCTACCTTTCCAGCAACTATACTGCCGGTGGGTTGTCCTTAAATACAAGGCAAATGTGCCATATAACAAAAAGAATTCATTCAAAATCATTAATAACTCCATGTGTTTAAATACATCTTGTAAGAAACGCAGCTGTATGATTACTTATTTTGAAAAATGACACCAGCTTGTGCATTGTTGATTTCGTTTAGGATAATAAAAAATATGTGCTCATTTTGTCTGGTGTTTATTCAAGTCCAAAAGGCCACTGGCCCACAGGACATATGTTGTCAATATTAAAACAAAAAAGGTAGTTACAATATACACGAGAGGATTAAAACAATATATGTACATAACAACAAGCAATTATTGATGAAGTGTAGGATACAGTTTAAAAGCGAAAAATATGTATTTACTTAAATTTAACAGTGTTTGTGGGCATTTGGAATAAATTAGCTTTACAAAAGGATGGTTATAATAGATAGGTTGAATATAAGATTCCCGGAGTTGAGAGAAGGCTTTGCAGACAAGTAAAAAATGATTTTCGTTTTCAATTACATCTATGTGCTCATCTATTGCAATGATAATGAAATGTTCAGACTTGTTTTATGCCTATTGTTGCCCGTTTGGTTCACAACAATACAAGGAAGGTTATGTCTGCTACACTGAAATACCATGTAAGAACATGCCAGAGAAAAGACCCATTCCGAACCCTTGAAGCAGTAGCAATATATTCTAAAATATTCATTGGCACATGCTTCTTGAAGTTCTGTACAGAACAATTCCTGTGTTCGGAATGACGTAAACACTTCACCAAGATGTAACAAAAAGGATCGGTTCCAAACAGGCGAGATTACAAACATAGAAACCCGGACACCTCCAGTACAAACATGCAAGATCACGTTCACCTTTTATGACCCGCAATGAAACCACTGTACGCTTTTCTGCGCAAGTAATTCATTTGGTTATTCTGAACGTGCAATTTAACTATAAATCATTACGCAAAATCATAGAGAAATCATATGTATAAACCATATACATATATTAAACATAATATATCAACAATATATGAAATACTGTAAGGGACATTCTCGCGATCTCGACCTTTGGAAACGAGGTAAATATGCCCAAAACACGAGAATGCCAAATCTCGCGTTCTCGCGATCTCGCATTCTCGTGTTTTGGGCATATTTACCTCGTTTCCTAAGGTCGAGATCGCGAGATCGCGAGATCGCGAGAATGTCCCTTACAGTATTCAATAACAATAACATGTTGTTGGTTTTTTTTACGGGTGCCTCCGTTAGGGTTGGATACGCTCACCTTTCTGCGAACACCTGGTATCATCACTATTTCATAGTGCTTCATAAACAAATAAAGTAATAGTGTATTGTGTACACAGCACTTGGCGTGGGATGATTGTCAAGATTTTAGTAACGCATCTTTTACATGAAACGTTAAAGACTGGGCAGGAAGGGACTTTCTTTGAAATTTGTATAGTTAACAGTTAGTGAAATTAGAGATAAAGGAGGGATGATTACCCTTGTGAATACTTGTTAAGACGATCGGCCCTGTCAGCCTGAGGTTCGAGCAGCAACGTTGAAGGCTAAAACGAGCATCGTAAAGGTGAAAACCAAATTTCTGCTGTGGTTGGTTGTTTCCTTATCCTTGGGAACATATTGACAAGTGATGGAATTTCATAAATAAGGAATTAAAGATGAATAAAATACTCAAGTCTGAATGGAATGGTTTTATTGCCGAGCTTGACACGGTAAGAAACGCGATGTCGCTGAGTTAAGGTTGTAAACATACCGAAAAATACGAAGGCCTAAAGGTGTTACTTTGGGAGTATATGTTTTTAAATCAAAATTTCTCGTTATTGCAATCATTTGTTCATTTTCTAGAAATTTCTAGGTTTTTCTCGTTACTTCGATTATATTTTCGTTACTTCGATTATTTTCTCGTATTTTGGAATATTTTTACTTCACGAAACACGAAATTTCGATTTTTCTCGTTATTTCAATTATTTTCTCGATATTTCGATTATTTTCTCGATATTTTACGTTTATTTAAAAGCACTTGAAATTTCACTTTTTTCCTTGGTGCTTCAATTCTTTTCTCGTTATTTCGAATCTTTTCTCGATATTTTAAGTTTATCTTGAAACACGAAATTTCAATGTTACTCGTTATTTCAATTCTTTTATCCTTATTTGAAATATCGGGAAAATATTCGAAATTACAAGAAAATAATCGAAGTTACGAGAAAATTCGACTTAGGAAAAGTACAATTATGCTACCAGAGTGACAACATTAGGATTTCGTAGAAAAGAGCAAAGCGAAAGAAGAACAAAATGTGTATCGGTTCTTGAACCTTCAAGCGTTTTACTGAAGTAACAGTTTGAGTAAGCAAAACAACTCTGTGGGCAATTCATTCAGTCAACGGAAACACCATCTAAAAAGCGATATTTTATATAAAGATATACTTCGGAGATGGCAAGCAAGAGAGCGGTGAAGTATAGTATAGTGATTCACACGTTGGCTCGTGACTCCGAAAGCTTGTGTTCGATTCCCTATTCTTGTACAGCACGTGAAACCTGTTACTAGAGTTCTCTAAGTCACAGGTTATTGTCTCGGAAGAAAACGCTCTGCATTCAATGGTTTCAACGCTGAATCTCGGCTAAATCATAGACAAGCACATGTAAATGATAATGAGCTGAGGTGAGGTGAAATCTGGTTTCACGTCGCATTCACTATTATACGTATGTAGCGACATGCGTGCGCTTGGTATAGCGTGGGGTAAAGACGTGTTGCACGGCACTGTGTCAATGGTAAGCCACGCGGGACACATGCAGAGTATCTTGTATTGTTGCCGTGTTTCATGGCACTGTGTCAATGGTAAGCCACACGGGACACATACAGAGTAACTTGTATTGTTGACGTGTTTCATGGCACTGTGTCAATGGTAAGCCACACGGGACACATGCAGAGTAACTTGTATTGTTGACATGTTTCACGGCACTGTGTCAATGGTAAGCCACACGGGACACATGCAGAGTAACTTGTATTGTTGACATGTTTCATGGCACTGTGTCAATGGTAAGCCACACGGGACACATGCAGAGTAACTTGTATTGTTGTTCAATCATAAATTTACATTTGTTGCCTCTCTCTCAGCCTTTGCTAACACTAAAACGACTTTGCAGACTATTTACAACATATATTAGTATAGCAGCAAAGTATCTCCATACTTTCGTGGTGTGTACGTATGAAATAGAAGACAAAAATTACATGGCATGTATATATAGTTTCGAGAATATATTTGTTGGGCAAACGAAAAGAAAGTAGGCGCCAATATTTGATGGTGGCAAGAAAAGAAACAAACAAGAAATGGTTACTCGATGGCGATGTATGCGATATTACATGCATCACATCAATGAGTATCTCACAACAGGTGACGTGCACTTGATGCCTCGACGACCGATGTCGCTTTTTTCAAATGTTTTCTTTTATTTGCCCGACAGTTATGTTCTGAAACAATCTATTTTACTACCGAATGACAGCTTTCAAATATTTGAAATTGTTGACTTTCTGCCGAATGCTTATTATATATTTTCGACAAATAAGAAACGAAAACACATGTGTTGGAGGGGGTACCCAAAAAGTCCTCGTAGATGCACCTGTGTACCACCTGGGCGACACCTGCAATTCACATCTTGTAGTAAACATTTCTACGTGTTGAACACATGAAGTGATGATTGAGACGATCTTAGATCATATATTTCGCAAATGAAGCATGGGTCATAAATAGTTTTTTTTAATGATGTTTTACACTTAACGTTGTTGCCATTATTAAACAAATGTGCTTTAGTCATTGGCCTACATTGATACAAATTGTGAAGCCAATTTCTGGTGACCCCCGCCGGGATATTTGGCGGAATATTGCTAAAAGCGGCGAAGAAACCATACTCACGCACTCACTGTTACCGCTAGCGCTTATCACTAGGGATCCAGTACTGTCGCCTCTTACCACTGCATTTATGACAAGGGACCCCGTTACTAGTCGCCTCATACCATTGCATTTATCACTAGGGACACGGGGTTGGTATCTCTTACCACTGCATTTATGACAAGGGACACGCTACTAGTCGCCTCTTACATGTATCACTGTATTTATGACAAGGGACCCGGAACTGGTCGCTCTTACCACTGCGTTGTCTTTAAGAAAAACACCTTACAATAAGAAAATTTATATGGCAGGCAACTCTTTCTTTTTTAATAGTCTGG